CTGCCGCTGCACAGGTTGGTTGCATTTTGTCAGCCAGAAAACCCAACAACTCTTGGTTCCTCAGAGGAAGATCAGACTGCTCTGCAGCAGGGACAACGGCCTGAAGTCCCATTGTGTTGGTGTTGGTGCCACTCAGACTGCACAGGTCACCTGTGGGTCCCCCAAAGCATCTCTGTCCCAGCCGAGAGCTTCCCGGCTCTGTGGGGAGGGGCAAAGTCATGTCCTCTGAGGGTTTGCTTATGGAAAAAGATCAAATTTTGCTGGATTTCATAATCCCATTACTCCCTATATTTCTCCTGACTGTAGAAATGGGAAAAGCTGTGCCCTGCAAATGGGGGACCACAGCTCTGCTGCAGGAGAGGGCAGTGGTTATTGCTATGTCCAGATCAGCCACTGGACACCACAACAGAGGCACACTGCTGGAAGGCATTTCACATCCCCCCTTCTTTACAGCCACTCAGGGAGGGATTCCCTCTGGCCCCGAGAGTCACACTCACCACCACATTTTCATCTTTAAATATATTTGCTCCACTGACTTTGCTGAGCAATTCTCCTGGGAAGTTCAGATGATGCTCAGAAACAAATTCAAAGACATTGTTCTTCCTGCAAGAGAGAGGGAAAACAACTGCACAATCTGAGCTGAGCTAGTTCCAGGCTCTGTCTAAATGCCTGAGTAATGTTTGGGTGCTCCTTGCTTTCTGAGGATAATAGTCATGCCTGCCTAACTTTGTATGTGCAATAACCATGGATGGCTCTTGCATAAATAATCCTGAAATCAGACCTTCATGACGATCCCCTTGCCTTACAGCTTTCAGAGCCTCATAACTCCCTGCTGCAGCAGAGGACTTCAATTCCCTTTCCAAAGCCACGGCTCCTCTTACAGTGAACCATTTTGCTCTATTACCTGTAGGACAGGGGCATGGTTAGTGCCAAAGAATCTGAAGGTCTCATCTGACAGAGCTGTGCTTGTCTGGGGTAGCTCAGCCCTGGGGGCCCTGCACCCCCCAGAGTCCCACCAGCATGATGGACACACCTGGGGCAATTTCCAGTCTCTCAGGATGGATAGAGATGGTGTTTTGAAAAATGCATAAATCACTTTGCCCCCCCAAAGCTGCTTACCTGTGCCGCATGACGGGGGACCTGCTCCTCTGCTCCGCGGACTCACCCACTGGGGCCAGAGGTGGTGACAGGATCTTTGGTCCTATGGGAAAGGGCAGGTAAGGATTTCACACCCAATTTAAACCCAAGACAGATTTTGCTCATGACTGCAGGAAGATTCAGCTGTAGTGGCTAATGCCGCTCTTGGATTGAGCAGTTTGCTTCACACCAAACACCCCCCACACCCCAGACAGAAGTTGCTGCCAGTCCAGCTCATCCCAGTGGCATTCCAGCAAAGCACTGGGAGGGCTCCCAGGTGAGTCAGGCAGCTGTGCCCATGCCTGTGCCCCCAGCGCTGACCCCACTGCTATGCTCAGGGCAGGGCTGTGGTCCCAGCTCCCCACTCAGCAGAGGTCTTGATGACTTTCCAAGTAGAGAGAAGCACAGACAGTTGTCAAAGCCAATTGTTTTCCAAAACATATCTGTCTGCAAGAGAAGCAGGCCAGGAGCAGCAGCTCAGGAGGTAAAGAGCAGCCTGAGAGCTGGCCAGGCACATGCCCATTGCAGTAGCCATAGCATACAAGGCTGACAGGACTGTCCACCTTGGCTGGCACCTCCTCAGGTCAGGTAGCTTCTGTTGTTTCCTTACGACCAGAAGAGTAAAGTTACAGGAGAGCAAACTGTCCGAAAGACAAGAGGTCGGTGCCATGCACATACCTCTGTGCTGGATGATCCACTCGCCGTCATCCAGCCGCCCCGGGGGTGCAGAGGGTGTCAGGGGATGTCCCAAATTCGGGTCCGAGTCCAGGTCACCTATAGCGCACGGACATGCCAGCGAGTGAGGAAGCCTCGAGATCGGACAGTGCATGTAGAGACCAAACAGATGGCACAGGCCAACACACCGTCCAAGTATTTGCTGTCCTTTCCTACTGTCTTGCTTTCCCGAGCTCATTCCCGTGCTGAGGTGGAACAACACTGACACCCTGTGTAGGTGACAAAGCCTTGCAGATCCTCAGCTCCCTCCGTGGCCCGGCAGAGTGGGGACCTGGGCGTTACAAGCCCTGGGAGGTCAGGAGCCCTGCTACTGGGGAAACTGGCCCATCACCCCGTGGCAGCGGGGAGCGTGGTCACTGGCCAGGATGGACACCCAGGCCAGGCTGGGTTAAGCACACAGATGGAAGAAAGGCCCCAGGGGCTTTCCAAAGACCCAGAAACCTTGTCTGAAGAGCTCACAGCTGCACACACATTTACATCTCTGATGGGACACGAACATAGAGGTGAAGGTCAGCACCTCTCGCTGCCTTTCAAACATCTGTCCTGAGTTTGACCAGCAATGACTCTGCTCTTTATGCAACTGCCTTTTTCTAAAAGTTTCCAATTTATTTTAATTCACCTTGTGGGACACTGGCTTTATTTTTTCCTTAGGCACCACTCTAAAAATAACCACTGGTAGCAACTGGTGCCTAACACAGAAACAATGCTTTTTATTGAGTCTTTTATCCAGTGACCTTTCATATCGCAACAACTGATTACGAAAATTCAGTCTGTGCAAGAAAAGAGCGTGCGGAGGAGCCAGGAAATGCCAGCTTGGCAACAGCACACAGTCTGACCGGCACAGAGGGAGGCTGAGGGTGGTCATCCATCAATTTGATTTACTAGCCTTTTCTTCTGAGAGCATGCTCCTTTCTTCCAGGAAGCTAAATTAAACTCTCTGCTATTTCTTCCTATGAAAATAAGAAACTACACGCTCCGTTTGAAATGTCACATCCCTTGTGCAGGAGAAGACAAGGCTGCCCTTGAGCTGAAGGAGCACAGGTTTCCAAGTAATGGTGAGCACTACAGAGAACTTCATTGGGAAAAATAAATCAGTAAGATGCCTTCAACGTGATTATCTCAGTCATGTCTAAACCAAACAGAAACATCTTCCTCAAGTGCTGAGTGAAGTATCTCAAACAGTTTTGGATTCACTGGCCAGTTAGTTGGCAGACCATGCAAGTCTACTGGGGCTTCAGTCATGATAAAGCTCCAGCTTCCTCTTCCATGCCCCAGGGTGGGAAACCACACCCAAGAGGTGCTTTTCCTTCCCTCTGTGTTGGTGTGGCACTGCTGGTTGTTGGGTTTGATGTCTGTCTGCAGTTGTGTACTCATAAGGAAAAGGACACACACCTATGACTGTAAATGTGAAATTCCTCATTCAGAAAATGCAGCATTTACAAACCATTAAGGACTGCAAGGACTTTGCATACCTTCAACAAGGGCTCCCTGTCTGCAGTTCACCAAGGCCCTCGCAGCCTCAGGTGAGCGCTGTGCTCGGCATGCATCAGGGAAGAAGGGCAGAGGGAGGACGAGTGCCTTCCCTCAGTGTGCTCCAGAGAAATATTCCAGGAGCACGAACTCCTTATGTCAACTATTATATCACAAGAAATCCTTGATTTTCATTCCAAAATATAATGGATTTCTGTACACATTACCAAGAGAACCTAATGCCTATTCTTAATGTGTAAATGTTAAACAAAAACTCATTTAAAACAAAAGATGGAGATAAGAGTATAAGTACCAAATTCCAGTCCAATGGAAATGGTTTAAATGACCAGGTTAAAAATATCGTGAACTGGGAGTAAATAAATCAGCTGCATGGTTGTTGCTATGGTGATGTTGGAAATCACAATAGTCTATAAACATGAACACATAGCCCCATTTTAAAACAATTATAAGTCTGAGATAGGCTTTGACAAAGCCAGGAAATTCAGAGCTTAGGATGTTACTCATCCCATATTTCAGGGATCCAGCTCTAGACACACCAAAATAGCCAACAAAACTCCAAGGCAGAGAAGTGAGCTCCAGCCTCAGGCTCGAAGCTCAGTTTGTCAGACCTGTGCACAACGCACACCACCACATCCCCCAAAGCGTGCAGCAAGGTCCTGGGTACCGAGCACACTGCCTGCATGGCTCTGGCTGGCATCGAAATGTGATTCCACCTTTGGCTGAAAATCAGGTTATCAGAGGTTTGGCCTTTTCATAAGCAAATAGGGCCATGCTGGATAGTTGTCAAAATATGGCCAAAACTTTCTGGGCAATTCTGTGCACTGCCATGTTCTGCCCTTCCTGCCCAAGGACACCAACAGTTTAAGTATCTTCCACAGAAGGATCCCTGTCCTCTAATGACCCCAGGACATTGCCACCTCTCTCTGCTTCTCTGAGAGATCAAGCACAATGAGGGTGAGAGGCCACAAGCCAAGTAAAAACCTACCTGGGTGGAAACCTCTGTTCGCACTCTTGAGGTGCCCAAGATCCACAGGGTACATCTGCACTGAACATTTATGTTCCTCAGGTGTCTAAATTTAGGCATCATGAATATGCTTAAAACAGTCGGACATGATGCTCTCAGACCCTATATCTCAACTGGAAGATCCCTTGTGTCTCACCCAAGGGTGCTGTCTGCTAAGCACTCACTTGTGACTATCAGCACTAGCGTGGCCAGCAGGGACAGGGAAGGGATCTGACCCCTGTACTCGGCACTGATGAGGCTGCATCTCAATTCCTGTGTTCAGTTTTGGGCCCCTCACTACAAAAAGGACATTGAATGACTCGAGTGTGTCCAGAGAAGGGCAACGGAGCTGGTGCAGGGTCTGGAGCACAGGTCGTACGGGGAGGGGCTGAGGGAACTGGGGGGGTTTAGTCTGGAGAAGAGGAGGCTGAGGGGAGACCTCATCGCCCTCTACAGCTACCTGAAAGGAAGGTGCAGAGAACTGGGGATGAGCCTCTTCAACCAAGTAATAAGCAACAGGACAAGAGGTGATGGCCTCAAGTTGCCCCAGGGAAGGTTTAGACTGGATATCAGGAAGCATTTCTTTCCAGAAGGGGTTGTTGGGCATTGGAATGGGCTGCCCAGGGCAGGGGTGGAGTCCCCATCCCTGGAGGGGTTTAAGAGTCACGTTGACATAGCGCTGAGGGATCTGGTGTAGTTGGGAACTGTCAGCGTGAGGTTAAGGGTTGGACTGGATGATCTTCAAGGTCTGTTCCAACCTTGATGATTCTGTGATTCTGTCAAGGTTCAGCATGTGGAGCATGGCAGAGGGCAGCCAAAGGAGGGGATATTGGCACGAATGCACCTCTATACAGGAACCGGGGTGGGGTTCCTCCTGCCAGAACAGTAACTGTATTTTATCATTTGGGGAAATCCCTCTGCAGAGAAGTACAAGTACTGGGCAGGTGTAAACCAAGGCCAGTCACTGCTTTCCCTGCACACCCCTCCAGGCAGCCTGTGGGGACAGAAATACTGCAGCTGGGAACCAGCACCTGAGCACAAGCCCATGGATGTCAGCAGGAAGACCCCCATTTGCAGTGCATTTAGGATTGGAACCCATAGCCAAAAGTTTGGGAGATTCTTAATCTCTGGCAAACCCTGGCAGTTAACCTGCAGTTCTTGTCCCCATCAGTCACTTTCCTGACTGCTTCATACTCAGGCTGGTCAGGCTGGGTGTCAGCCCTCCACACAGCACCTCCTGCACCACAAACTTCTCTTTCTTTTTTCCCATCTGATTAAACAGAAACTTCCTGTAACATCATTATTTCTTCCTAAGCTAATCAAAGCTTTACTCAACCGTAAATTAAAGAACCTCAGAACTCAATTACTTTTCAGTAACATCAGTGACAGCAATATTTCACTGGGGGCCCACATAATTAGAGTTTCTTCAGGCACCATATTAACATCTAATGAAAAAGATATAGTCAAGGGCATAAGATCAAAGCTCCATCATGACAGATATTTTGATTAAGCATCATTTTGTTAAAAGATAACAAACTCCAGTTTAATCTCTAACCCATGTCAGGCAGTTTATAGTGTACTCCAAGAATCCCACCTTAAAGACAAAAGTAAGCAGTGTCCCAGAAGCAGAGACTCAGAGGATAAATTCACACCTCTAAGGATTAAGTCCCTGTGCCACTGGAATCAGTAGGCTTTGCATTGTGCCTAAAGGTGTAACAACTCCTTTAGTTCACACACGCGGCACAGCCAATGTGCCAACCCTTTCCTCTCCTTCCACAAACACTGACTGGACAAGAGCACACATTTGGTGGAAGAGATTTCAGTTCTGGAAACAGTTATTTTTAACATATTACTTGAAAAAACAGTTTATGAATATCTTAATCAAGAAGTACAACTGCATAAAAATAGAAGAGAAACCTGTCAGCATGGCATGCAATGTTTTTTTTTTTTAGTTTTACTTACTGTCTACTTTCATTTCTTGTTCCATTTCCAAAGGCTAGCAGCAGAGATGATCCTGTCCCAGCAATCTCCTTTAGAATACATTGTTTTCTGCAAATTCTGTGCTCACAGCAACGAAACCCAGCCCCCATGAGCCACTCCCCTCTGCCAAACAATGCAAATGTTGGAAATTAATGAATTGATGTCAAAGCTGGATGAAGCAGAAGTTTGCCAGGAAGGAAGTGCCAGACAGCCCATGCACACCATGCTGGCTTCCCAAAGGGAAGCCCCACAGGAGAGGAAGATGTTCAGAAATCAGAGACTGCACATGGGACCAAATTACAGGCAGAGAGGCATAAAGAGACTAGAAGATCTTTCAGACCTCTTCATGATATGGTTGAAACCCAGTTGTATGAGGCACAAGATGTATTCACTACAGGCTCAACTCAAAGCACCCTTCCTTCTGCAGAGAGGGAGCTGCCTGCATGCCTGCATGCCAGCAGGTGCCTCTGGGGCATCACAGGAATATTCCATGTATTCCAGGTTCTTGGTGTTAGCTTTTTTCTAGAATCTAGTATCAATACCAAATACCTGCTAACTTCAGTGCAGATGTTAGAGAAAACATCATCAATGCTTCATCCAGTGCCTTTTTCTTGTCAGATTGTGTGCGAGCCCTGTACATTACCAAAGCCAAGTCCCTGTGGAACACGATAGCTATGCAATGAGCTAATGACTACAAGGTCACTGAGTTATCCTCAGCTTTCCTACCTTCCTCTCGGGTATCTCATGGCTGTGCTTTCTCCACTTGGTCTTCCTAAGCCTATTGTCAGCCCTTGAGAACAGGGAGGGAGCAGCGTGATGCTATTAAGCTTATAAGCTGGTGACTATGGTCTCCGAAACCAGGTAACAAGAGGCTTTGGCCAGTTATGATTTATGATCATAAATTATGAACAGACCCTGTTTTTAAGAGCTTCCCTACTCAACAGAACTTAGGAGCCTCTCGTAGTCTTTCTTGTAGTCAAAAGGCTGCTATCCACCTGAATAATCAGAAGAGAAGATTTGCACACCAATACACTGGGCTGCCACACAAATATTTGTGAAAGCATAAGTCTTTTCCTCATTTTTTTGTCAAAAGGACCAACTTCTGACCCAACATCATGGTCTGCAAAAGCCTGAGCTTTCACTCTGAAGTATTTCTGTGCATGGGCTCTAACAGCAGGAGAAGGGTTTGCTTCTCTGCAGAGATTTGTCCACCCCTGTTGTTGCCTGAATAATTCAGTTAATGCTGCAGGAATGTGACTGTGTTGGTAGCGGCACATTGGGGTCCAGTCATCTGGAGAGGGGTGTTCTTTGAGTCCAGTATTTAGCTACAAATGTAGATGCAGCTGTTGATCCATCACAGCGGCAGCTGGAGGAGCTGCCATCCCTTTGGATCCTTTCAAATTAAATTGTGCAGCTATTGATAATAACCTTTCTCTTTTTAGTTTTCTTTAAAGCTTAAATCAATAGTTTAAGCATCCTAAAAACGTTCAAGGCTCCAACTACACCATGCTACTTGCAAGGTTTGAGCCTTGTTGTATCTACTGGGGCTTCAGAGCTTGCCAGGTGAGCCCACAGAGGCCATCAGCAAAGTCTTACAGTGAGCCCGCTCCAGCCCTGACAGCCCCTGAGCTGGCAGGGGCAGAGAAGGGGCAGGGCCTTACCGTGGTTATTAACGCCAGATTATCCTTTTCCCATCCAAGCCCAAACCTTTCTCAGTAACTGCCTAATTGGATTTCATGTTAATAAAGCCCATTAGCCACATGTGTCCAGAGGGGCTCTGCTCTTTGTCGCTGTGTCTGTGCGGTATAGCAGGCAGTGTTAATCACGTTAGCAGGGTGCTGCTGCAGCCCAGAGCTGGAGCCAGTTTCTTAAAAATACAAAGAAAAGTGATAAGGGGCAGGCAGGGAAGACCTGCCCTTCAGAGTAGCTCTGGAGAGCCACACAAATCCTCCTCCTCCACAGCACCAGGGCTGCCAGGGGAGCTCACCACCGCAGTCTTCCGAAGGGTAGCTGGGCTGTGACATGACCCTCAAGCCCTGAGCGTTGAAGCCTTTTGTAACAACAGGCGGGCAAGATTTGCTTTTCCATTCATGGTGGCATGCTGCAAATTTGGACAGAGGAGACTGGCAGCTTCGTTTGGGGATATAATTAATGTAGCTAGGACTGTCAACACCACAAATGCAAGCTGCTTTTAATTATGTTCAGACAGTTTATGCAAGATCAGCCTCCAACACAGTTATGTTCAGCAGTGTGAATGACGCCAGAGAACAGAAATTTATCACTCAGCTTAAGAGGGCTGTGGGTGGGTGAGTCAGGGTGCCGGTGTGCCAGTTCCCAGGGTACTGTACTGGGTACTCACCCCATTGTGCCCCGGCAGAGCTTCTCTGCATGGCTCTCACAGGGGGCACAAGATGAACACCGGGACAGGAAGGAAAATTAATTCCCTTTAGCAAGGCAGCGTGCAGAGCTTCTCTGGTACAGACGTTCCCTGAGCCATCCAGCACCACTGAGCTCCACTGTCTCCCAAGAGCTTGACATCCCGGCAGGAACGTACACACAGCCCCAGCATATAGCGCATACCATTACACACTGTCTGCCTGACAGCTACAGCCATACACGATGCCATCCTGATGTTGTCAAACACCAGGACATTTGACAAGCATCTTTACGATTCCGTGCTGACTGCCTAGCTATAAAGCATTATTTAGGAATGTGCTAGGTGCTTACTGTGGTGTTCATGCTTTGCTGGAGAGACACTTTGGGAAGCGCTTTTCTGTTTTTGATTATAGTGTCAGAGACTCTGAAATCTGTCAACAGTAGAATTATTCTGTGTAGTTTTTAAAAGAGCTCAAAAACATAACTGTTTAGGAGTGTTCACACCCTTAAATGCATGTGAATAGCATGACACAAAGGAAAACAAAGCTGTACCAAAGGGTCTGTTGGATCATGATAACATTGTTACAGAATTGTCCCTTTTCACTGGAAAAAAAACAAGCTAAAAAAAAACCCCAAAAAACAAAAAACCAAACCAAACAAAAAACAAAAAACAGAGCAAAGGAAAATCTTGATTCTGTGGAGTAGGATAATGCTTGACAACATTAAACAAGGGGATGTGGGGATTATCATAGGCAATTAGAAGTGTGATGTGGCTGTAGTTATCTATGAGCAAGCTGTTGTCTTGCCCAGCACTCACAACCGAGGCAGAGTGTATGTGCCAGTGCCATTTCTGAAAAGCAGGCAAGCATCTCTTACAGAAAGTCACAGTAAATTTTAGATGAGTTGTTAAAGCTTGGAGAGAGTCAGTGGCCTAGGAAGCAAGCGGTAGTTCTGGACTAAGGCTACAAGCAAACCAACAGACACGTGTTAGCACTGCCGCCAGCACACAGGACTTTGGTCAAGAAAATTCAGCAGCAGAAATAGCTAGTGTCCTGCTTGGTCTTTCAGAAATCTGTCCCTAACTACTAATGAAATCTCAAACCTTCCCTGAAAAAAGAGTGGAGTTGTGCTTTTGCCTAATGGAAAATGTGAGTGATGTGGGAAGAAAAGGGATGGCACCAGAGCTGGGACAGGGATGCTGACAATATCTTCTCCACTTGAGAAGGGGGATGTGGAGCTGTGAGAGCTGCTGTTCTGTGCTCAGGACACCAAACGTACAGACCCTCAGTGGGGACAAGCACACGGAGCCTCCTCAGCCCTTGTGTGCCAGAAATGCCATTTATTTAGTTTCCAAAAGGGCTGCCCTTGACCTGAGCAGCCCAGGGCTGGGCTGAGTGGACTATGGCCACCCATCACCCCGCAGCACTGCAGCGTGGCTTGGGTTTGTGTCTCAGAGGATAACAGCAGAACTGATGCTTCCTGAGCCACAAACTGAATTAAGCCCATTTTAAGCAGAAAGCCCAATAAAAAACTCATGGGTGGGTGGAAAGGGGTATTCACCCCCAAGGGAAGCCCAGAGAGGTTCTTCTCAAGCAGTCTCAGCACCTGGCAACAGCAGGAGGTCTGTCTGGCAGTTTGTACCCAGGTCCTACAAAGAGAAAAAACACAACACTATGGTTTCAGAAATCCTTCTTTTTCATCGGAACAGATCTGGGCATTTTACTGCATCAGCCCCAAAGGGATGAAAGACCCTGCTCTTGCTGTGCAAGATGTACATCATCTTGTGCTGTCCTCAGGATGCTCAGCTCCCCCAACCCTGCTTCATCCCCCACTTGCTTTTGGGGTGGTTTCTCACAAGATGAAGCAGGCAGGTCCCCGTAAACATCTGCAAGTGAATGTACTTGGAAATTATAGGGCACAAACTTCTGCTTCCTCATATCCCACAAAAATATAGAATGAAGCCAATAGTCCCATCAGTTCAGCATATGTTTCCCTCATGGGATTTTCGGAAATATCTAGTGAACTAAATATGATATTTCAATGCAAAACCATAAGGGAGAAATAGAAGACTTTACACTTTTATCCATCCTCTAGTGTTAACTCCAAGCAGCTTTGCACTAAACAATTTCTTTCTTCTCCACAGAATTAACACAAGGAGAGAAGAAAGACCTAAAGAAATGCTCCACAATTTGCTGTTGCACTAATAAAAACAGAGCCTTTATGCTGTACTGGTAGGTGACAGTTACTGTATGTGCTACAAGAAAATTGGGAAAAGAATATCTGGTTAATCTAAAGGGAATTAATAATTATTGATCTACTACACTGCTCAACAATAAAGTTGAAGGTCTGCATAGAAATTAGTTTCTTGTAATTCCTTCACTTCTATTAAACAACTAATAGAAACAACTATTAAATAACTGATAGAAAAATCAGTTTACGTTTCATCAGAAGCAAATATTTCCAACCAAAAACTAGTTCATAGTCACACTCCCTCCCAATTTTGCTCAAGCTCAAGGCAAACACTGCATTTTCTAAAGAGTTTTATCCCTTCATAAAGCATTTCCCTTTGTGTTTTAAATCTAGGTGCTTTTTTAATTGGAAAAAAGGAAATATTTAGAATGAAAAATCTGACCCCTGCTCTCATCTTTTAGTTTGAAATTGCTCTTCAGAGGTGACTCAAGTTCCCTTCCTCCAGCCCTTCCTTCCCTCACCACTCTGGGAATTCATCATTCAGCAGAAAGATTTACCTGGCTTCAGCTCTCGGCAGGACCAGTCCACCCTCACAGGATGGCACAGCAACATTTCCCCGGGTAATCCTCTGCATAGACTTGCTTTTCATTACCGAAAACAAAGTAGAAATATACCTTCCCTTTCCATTCATATTCAATCTTAGTGAGGGGAATTAACTCAATACCATGTTTCTGCAAGAAGGAAAAAAAAAAAAAGAGTATTTTTTAAACTACCTCTGACTGTAATCCAAGGGACATTGGTATATGAGATGCATTTTAAGGTCTATTTTATTTAATGGTGATACTGGATGGATTGGGATCTCCCAGGGGTTTGGGGAAGGATGGGAAAAGCACCTGCAAGAGGGTGAGCAAAACCAAATGTCAGCTGATTTTCCAAGGCCAGAGGTATTGGTGCAGGCTCACATTTTGAGCTGGGAAGGTTTTAACCCCAGGCAAAATCCTTCTGGATTAGAGGGAACTGGCCCATGACCAATGCTCACCTGCTGTGTTGTGTGATAGTTGGACACATCTGTTTTACACACAGATTTGGGGAGAAGATCCCCCCACCCAGTATTTGATCCCCCTTGCAGCCCCCTCCACCGGGGGCTCAGTCCCCAGGTGCATCCTTACCTGTCTCAGTATCCGTGTCTCTTCCGACACCTGCATTTGATGCAGGGCAAGGCAGGACTCAGCACCCCGTGCGATGGGCTGGGGGAAGCTCACAGGAGACACCTGACAGGTGAGAGACAGAGAGGATGCACTTCAGCACCCAAGAGAGACTTTCTGAACAAATTAAGGCAAAAATCCTCACAGAGATGCAACACACATGCCTTAACTTCTGTTCATCATAAAAGACAAACATTGACCATCTATGTGCTCCTTGGCATATACTTTAAGTACAGGCCTTGCCCCAGAGACAATCATTTCACTCATTTAAATGCAGCTCATCTGCAGGACTGTGCAAGCAGCATCTCAGAGCACTAGCATCCCTTGGCCCCAGGGGACAAAGCCAGAGAGCTGCACCCAAGGAGGGTCCCAACCCTTCCCTGATTCCACCATCACCAATGGCTCATCAACCGTCTCCTCTGGCCCAACCTGCAGAACCACATCTTTCTGAATCTCTACATGTGGAGATCCATAATTCCGGTTTGCAGGTCAGGTTTGTCCCTCTTAATGACCATCCTGTGTACTTGTAGGTATTTCTAACATCTAGGCAGGCTCCAAGCACCCACAAGGATCCAGAGAAATTTATGAAAGACTCCATGTTATACAGCCACTGCAAAACTGCTGTCACGTTTTCCTACTAACAAATAGTGAAACTCTCCTGTATAAATTATGCCTTTTATACCTACTCAATTTCTGCATCTGAAAATTACTTTATGGTTAGATGAAAGTTCACGACTATGTCGGTGTGTTCTGTAGCTTCCAGACAAGTAACAGAACTGCGAAGTTAATGGGCAGATTACCAAGTCATGTTCCTCGGTGAAGAGCTCCTTCCCTGTCACCTCCTGGAAGCAGGACAGAGGAATCCCCTGGTTCTTGTCAACGACGTATTCAGCAACATTATTCTTCCTGGGAGAAAGAGCAGGGTGAGCTCTGAGCTGCCCTCCCTGCTTGGGGGCTGCAGCGGGGCATGCCAAGGATGGATCCCTCATGCTCCCTCCACCCCTTTAGCCAGAATTCAGCTGCACATGGAAATTGCTCTTTGGTGTTTAAGCTCTCCCCCTCTGTGAAACCTGGTGTCAGGCACAAGACACATCTCCCCAGGCAGAGGGGAGGTGGGAACTGCTGGCTGCTGCCCAGCTAGGCATCCCCAGCTCCCACAGGGACAGGGCAGCCCCCCCTCTCCTCACTCACGCCCTGTGTGGGAACCCACACAGCCTGCACTGAGGGACGAAAAGCAGCTGCAAGGCTCAAGCGGTGGAGAATGGCCAAGCAGCACCCCAACACACACCAGCACATGAGGACATGCCTTCTGAGAATAGTGCTGGTCACCTTGTTTAGTATCCTGGGTTATTTTTACTAAACACAACCACTCAGGGCCTGAGTATTAATTTTTCTTTCTGTCTAATTCTACCAACTTTGCACCTTCCCTGTCTCTGAATTTTTCGTACACTGGTGTGTATTCTTCATTTAGCTGGGTTTGCAGATAGCATCTATTTGTTCACCTCCACTGTCAGAGAGAAAACAAGCTCCTAGTAACCAAGCTGCCACTTGGATGGTATTCCAGTTTTTCTCACCTTATCCGTCCTGAACCATTACAATGTAGGCAATGACTATAAATGTCATCACCGTTAGCGCATCTACCACTTCCTCCACAGAAAATACAGGCACGCTATATGCAGAAAGAAAAGAATAAAAACTATTAATAAAAGAATAATTCTCTGATTTATAATTGCTGAACCACTATTTCAGTGAAGCCCAGAGGGCAGTCCCACACAGATGAGCAGAACTGAGCAGGGGCTGTTACTCATCCCCATGCAGGGAGCACACATACATGTACCTGTTTCAGGACTTACATTCCATGGTTTGGGAACTTCCCATGTCAGCCCTCTACCCCTGCAGCAATTTCATGCCTCAGTTTCCCCTTCACAATAAGCCTCCTATATCCGGCCAAGCACTTAGTTGCTGAGAGCAGGGAGCAGCGTGCAGCTTGCCCTTGGCAGCACAGCTCCCTGTGCCACTGACGCTGTTCTGCAGGACATCTGTAACTCCATTAGAGGAAAGAGGCCGTTTATGACCTGGTACCCAGCTCCCTCGTGCTGGGTGCTCCCTGCCATCCCCATTCGCCAGTGCCATGGTCACCAGCACAGCTCAGCCCATCTCTGCCTGCCTGGCTGCCTCTTCTGCTCTCAGATGCTGGGGTCGGGCAGGGATTGCAATGGGGGGCAAGAGTTTCTTGTGCTCTGCAGAGCTTCTGGAACTAAGCACCCTGCTATCCCTCAGCACAAGCAAGGGCAATTCCTCATTATAATTTGACCCAGAGAATGAGATCTCACCTGCCCATGCTGCCTAGAGGCTGTATTTGGGCAAGCTCAGGCAGCCCTCCTGGAGGAACACGACCAAGCCCGTCCTGTCACAAGGGTGATCAGTCACCCATTGCATCCCACCAGCTCTTCGGGCACTCTTTGTTTAAAAGCAGCTAGCCCAATGAGCATTTCAAGTTACTGACCCCATGGATTGATTATACAGGCAGCTCTCCCAAGAAGAGGCCTGGCAGAACCTGCTCCCAGCTGGGATGAGGTTCTGTGACCACCTATCTCCGCGGCCCACTTGCCCCAGACATTCTTTTTGTCAGACTGTCCTCCTCATTTGCACCAACACCTACCCTCCAAACAGCTGAAAAACAGGTTCTCATCCAAACCCAGCACAAAATAACCTTGGATGCATATTTACACTAAAAAACTAAAAACTGAGCTGACCACAGATGGGCAGTTAACTAAAATAATATTTACAGATATAAGAAAAGCACTTTCGGTGGGAAACTGTTTCGTGTTAGTCCTTATCAACACCTCAGCACCACTCTCACATGATGGACCTTCAGGCACGTCCTGACACACTCTACTCCAGCCATCAGCACTAAAACCTCACTATTGACATTGTTGCTTTATCTTTCCATCTTGGTGCAACCTGTACAAAGGGACACTGGCACGGCAACCAGGCTCTGTCCAAAACTCCTTAGTTCCCTCATTAGGGAAAGCCTAACTGCATTTCTAACTTTATTGAGGTGCCATTATTTCATGTTTCCAGATGCTCTGTGTTTCCCTAGGATACCCTGTGGAATGGTTTTACTACATGGCCAGGTTTTCAGTTTAGGGTGTTAGTAGTTGTGACCCAATTCAGTATAATTTAGGTCTTGTTTTTCTCAAAGAAAATGTGGCCAGATTTAACTCCAACAAATAAAATTTTCCAGAGATTTATAGGTTTTGAATCAGCCCCATAATCTTCAGTTCTTAAACTGCTGTACAATGATTTATGCCTCTTCCCTCACACTTTCCTCTTTGTTCTGCAAAACCCATCAGAGATGTACGGTAGCTTTCTCCTCTTGGAAAGCAGAGGAAACTTGTTTCATCATCACATAATAAACTCCAAATGTTCTATATCCCCTCTGCCTGGGAGAACGATTGCAAAAGCAGCATCCAAGAGACCTGCAGAAGAGATCCTGCCTTGTTTTCACACAACAAATTTCTGTGCTCATCCCACAGCTCAGGAAAAGAAAGGGGATGACAAAGGAGGTTAGCTGGCAGCACTCAATTTTTGACAGTATTTTTAAAATACACATGTTTTGTTCTCTCCCACAGTGGAGACGATATCCAGAGCAGTCTCACGAGGATCCCAGTCCAGCGTACCGTGCCACGTCCTCTGCACGTGCCGCATGAGGTCCAACCAGCTCCGGAGCAGCTGGGGCAGCCCTGGAAGCCAAGGAGAGGGAGCAGGGCAGTCACCACAGGGCACGGGGCCTCGCCACTGCTCACTGCCAAATGCCTTGATTAAACCCGTCTCGCCTTAACCTCACTCTGCAGATCATCTTGGGTCTAGAAAAGCAGGAGGTAGAGAGGGCTAAGGGCTGTGGTGTAGCCCCCATGCCTGCTCAGACCCAGCACAGGTACTGAAGGGAGCAGGATTGGGCCCAACTGAGAGTCTCTTCCCTCCAGTCTGGACCACCTGCCCAAGGATGCTCTGGCCCCAGCACAGAATGGGAACAGGAGCTGGCCAGGTGGTGTCTCCAGACTAGTTGCACTCACCCAAACCCCAGTTAGGATAGGTTTTCTGCCTGTTTTTATTTGTTTTATCCCAGGAGTAAAAATAGTTGAGCTTTGTTCTTTTGGGTGGGTACAAATAATTTTTCATGGCAACTTGCCCACTCAAAACGCACACTCCAGATTATTTCAAGCAGTAAAAACAGGGCTTTGCCAAAATCAAGTGCTAATCCTTTATCTGAAGCTATCATTAGTTCAAGCAGAAAAACAATGCTTCCTGCCAGGACCAGAGTTATCTTTTCTTATCATTAAATCATGAAGGGAAGAAGAAATAAATAGAACAGTACACAAAAAAAATGGTTGTACTAATGAGTAAAAATAACTCTGTCTAAATAGGTACATGTAGCAGATACTTATCCAAAAATACAGAACTGAATAGAATAGTCCAGTGGATTTAAAATGAATGAACACCCTGTGCCATGCCAGATGCCATAGAAGAGCAACCTTGGGCAGCTCACCTGGACCCTGTAGGTGTGAGGCACTGGCAGATGCATCTCGCAGTCAACAAACAGAGGAGGGGGGTCCACGGCCACATCCCAGGGCCCCGGGGGCACCGCTATCTCCGGAGAGTCCACAAACCCACCTGGGGTGTGAGAACGAGGCAAGAAACAGGGTGCTAGGGACATGGGGAACCTGCCTGGATGCCCCTTGGCACCCAGAGCCACCTTACCGGCAATGGGGACAGCCACTGCCACCTCCACCACCCACAAAAGGACAGCCCAAACTGTGCCAGCTCCCCGGTGCTCCCCTCATCTCTATTTTGGCTGTAGCTCTTTCCTAAGAAGATGAGTCTGGTCCCCCAAACACCACCAGTTGCAGAGACTGGACACATGCCAGGGACTAGCAAGTACAGCAGAGCTGGCGGGAGGAAGCACCTGTCACCCCTCACAGCCCAGGCTGGGTGCAGGGATGGGAGAGCTCGCTGGGTCCTGCAATCCCTGCACATGACATCTTTGACTTTTTCTTTGGATAA